TTAAATATTCCAGCTGCCTACGTACCCTTTCAAAGAAAGAGATCAAGTCAAAACGTAGTTCAAATACATACATGTTTTTTGGTATTTTCTTTTTGTGCCGTTTGCAGTTTTAACTCATGCAGACAAGGAGCATTTGGTGTCGTGTTGCAGTTTCAGCTCGTGCAGGCAAGGAGCGTTGGTGTTGCCTTTTATGCTCGTGCAGACCAGGAGCGTTGTGCCATGCAGTTTAGGCTCGTGCGGACAAAGAGCTTTGGTTCGTGCAGTTTAGGCTCGTGCGAACAAGGAGCATTTGGTGCCGTGTTGCAGTTTTAACTCATGCAGGCAAGGAGCGTTGGCGTTGCCTTTTATGCTCGTGCAGACCAGGAGCGTTGTGCCATGCAGTTTAGGCTCGTGCAGGCGAGGAGCCTTGTGTCTTGCAGTTTAGGCTCTTGCAGACCAGGAGCTTTTGTTGGTTCGTCAAGCGATCCGGGAAAGCCGTTCCTCGCAATCTTCATAGTAAGGAGCCTTGACTGAGTGATTGAAGAAGTCTTCAGGAAAGAAAATCACGCATCGTGATGGGATGGACGATCTATGTGTCGAAATTTCATCATCTTCAACACGTTCATGTTGCTTTGAAGGTTGACAAGAGCTGTTTTTCCCCCTTTCCGATTGGCGGACATGTGGAGGAGACGTATGCTTCTTGTGCAATTTCTTAGGAGTGACTTGAGTCCATCCTTCAACTTTGCTTGTCTTGGACGATGCCCCCAGCGGTTGAGGTGAAAATTTTGAGTCGGAAGAGCCAGAAGTGAAGGTGGTATAGTTTGACTTCAACCACACATCGTCAAGAATCTAGCTCGATGATTCCTTTCTGAGCCAGCTTCATGATGAGATCTTTCAACACGAAACATTTTTCTGTCGGATGACTGATGAAGCGGTGGAATTTACAGTATCTTGGACTGTCGGTACGATTCATCTCTTCCGGCCGTCTGCACTCAGGCAAACTGATCACCTTCTTGTCCAACAGGTCTTCTAACATGGCAACCACATCAGAGTCGGGGAATGGATAAGTCTTCTCCTCAAGCTCCTTCAAAGTGCGTCTACGCGTCTCTTGATCACGAAAAGCTTCGGTTTGAATCGCCTTGCCTCGTGTGGATATTTTGACGGGAGATGTGTTAACCGTCATCGCTTCATTGGTGGGGTTTCCATGCAGCCTTTTCCACACCTTTGTCCCAAGAGCTTTTGTCGTTCTTGTAGTCGGCGATCGGTTCTTTCTTTCTTCCCATGATGGGCGATGCTCAACTCCATATCATGGGCGCGCGTGGCCAATTCCTCGAAGGTCCGCGGTTTAATGCCTTGAAGGATGTATTGCAAACCCCATTGCATGCCTTGGATGCACATCTCGATTGAAGAAATCTCGGAGAGTCTGTCCTTACAGTCGAGGCTTAGATTACGCCATCGGTTGATGTAGTCCATGACTGGCTCGTCCTTCCACTGCTTTGTGCTTGTTAGCTCTAGCATGCTCACAGTGCGGCGGGTGCTGTAGAAGCGATTGAGGAATTCCCGCTCCAATTGCTCCCAACTGTTGATGGACTCAGGCTCCAGATCCGTGTACCACTCAAAGGCGTTTCCTTTCAGCGAGCGCACAAACTGCTTGGCGAGGTAATCCCCTTCGGTTCCTGCGTTGTTGCAAGTTTCAACGAAGTGGGCAACGTGCTGTTTCGGGTTTCCCTTTCCATCAAATTGCATGAACTTTGGTGGTTGATAACCCCTCGGCATCTTTAAGGCGTCGATCTTCTTTGAATACGGCTTTGAGTACAAACCCGGAGGTATTTTTAGCTCCCTTCGTACTGTGCCTTGATGGTGTTGGTGATCATCTCTTGCAGCTGCTGGATAGAAAGAGATCCCATGAGTGCCGCTGCTTGGTCTGGCTCGGGCTTTCGCATCCTTTTCTCCACCTGAGGCTCATCTTCTGGGTTAGGGTTCTCGTCGTCCTGTGGCTCCAGTCGGCTGACGAGTGCAGCGATTTGCAAGTCTTTTTCTTCCACAGTTCGGGTTAGCCTTGCGATTGCTTCATTCATCTGAGTCAGTTGTTTCTTCAACGGAGGTAACGCCGATAGTCATGACTTGTGCGACCAATAGACGTGACTTTCCTTTAGACATCCAGGATGCTGATGAAGAACGTCGTTGGCTGCTTTGGGATGTCATCTTATGTGCCTCAGCATCATGCTTCGGTGCCCCCAGCGAGGTCAGGTTGATGACAGACTCACAACCTTGGATGCTCCCCTTGCTCTTTTTAGCGGCACCAATTTTGAAGTGGCATGTTGAGGAGCGGTTGTGGCGCCAATGGATTGTCCGTTTGCGGCAGAAGTGCTTAGGATCCTTCCCTCAGTGGTTGCGAGAATGGCTTGTCCCTTGCTTGATGCCATTGACTTTGAGGTGTGCTTGGATTCCTTGAACGGAGAAAGAGATGAGAGGTAGAGATTGTCCCACTGGGCGTGCCAATTTGTGAACACGGAAAATTCCTGAAACGAAAGAGACAAGAACAACGTGCACAAACAAATATTTGTATTTTTTGATGGTTTTGGTTTACAATCTCTCTCTATTTTGATCCTCTGATTCGATCTCCGTAAGGTGTTGATTGGTTGGTGTTTCGTTGATCCAAGGGCCGTCGAGGCTTGATCTTGGATGAACAGTTGGAAGTTTCTTCAAGGGGCCGTGGGCTTGATCTTTGAAGGTGGATTTGAGCGGATCTTCAAAGGGGCTTTTGGGCTTGATCTTTGAAGAACAGTGACGAACGGATCTCCAAGGGCTTTTGGGCTTGATCTTGAAGAACAGTGATGAACGGATCTTCAAGGGCTTTTGGGCTTGATCTTGAAGAAACGGTTGGATGTGTGGATTTGTCGACGTTGTTGATCCAAAGGGCCGTTGGGGCTTGATCTTGGATGAACGGATGATGAACGATGGTGCTTTCTTCAAGGGCCGTCGGGGCTTGATCTTGAATTGGTGGATGGTTGATCCAAGGGCCGTCGAGGCTTGATCTTGGAAGAACAATGAACGAAGAACGAAGAAGGGTTTCTTGATTCTTCGAGAACCTGGATGCTTGAAAGCTTCGGAGTTTCAGAGCTTCAGAGCTTCAAGGTGTAATATGAATTCCCCCCTCTCAAATGAATGAAATGGGCTTGTATTTATAGAATTTTCCAAGGCCTAATTTTGAATATAATATTCCAGATGAAATAAGTCGTTTCTGCCAGGTGTTGACACGTGTCCTATTTGATGACTTTTCCAACTTATTTCAATTTTCGTTGAGTCACACGCTACGTGTAAAATTTATGTAATACATGAGCGTTGACACTTTGATTTATCGGTCAACATTTATTTACCGAAATTTCGATGTCTACACTTGCATAGGGAAATTTGAGGTTGAATTCCTATTAGCGAGAGTTTGATACTTGAATTATTATGGTTGCACATTGTATGACTTATCCTAAAATTATTAACCTCTTAGTATATATATACCCGTGTATTGAGAAAAATCATCTGACAATTAATAAAATGGGAAATAGGCTTTAAAATCTTTCATGTGGGCAAATCACCCTTTGATCCCATTGTTATCAGGCCTAAAATAGCTGGCAAACTTAAGTACTCACGTTGCCACTTAGTAATACGGTATAGTGGTATTTTTCTTTACCCGTAAGTGAGAGATCTTAAGTTCGATTCTCATCAAAATTGAATTTGAAGCACATTATTACTAGTCCATTGTGAGGCTAAGCTCACTATTATTTGTTATTAAAAAAAAAAAAAAAAACTAATTAAGTACTCACGTTGAGCTTATCACTTGTAATGGAATCTTCTAGTGTACATGGTTTAACTATTCATTATTTTTGGCTCAACAAATATTTGTTTGTGAGTAACAATAAATTTTATGGCTGATTCTATGGGCCGCTTGTAATTTTGCTTATTATTTTATACACATAGAATTGAGGAAATCATCTCTCTAATCGTTGAATTTGAACATTAAATGACCCTGTAAACTTAGTTGAAAAATGGGTAGTTTTCTATTTAGCAAAAACAAAATTTCGACAATGATCCTAATACACAATACTTACATAAAGTGTGTTTCCCTAAATATTATCGTTTATTTAAAAAATAATTACATAAAGTAAGATAATAAAGGAAAAGTAATTATAAAGACATCATTAGTACATTATGCACTTCATCTCCAAGTATCTTTCCAACAAAGAGAGAGAGAGAGAGAGAGAGAGAGAGAGAGAGAGAGAGAGAGAGAGAGAGAGAGAGATTGAAAAATGAAAGAAAGAAAAAAAGAAAAAGAAGGGTAATATAAGTATAAACCTCAGAAGGTGAGTAGCTTTTTAAAGTCACTTAACATTAAATAGCTTAAAAACTGTGGAGTATCTAAATCTAGCAAGGTGGCTAACTTTATGGTCAACTTCTCTGAACCCCATGAAATTGGAGGAGTAGGAATTTTTTTCTCCTTTTTTTCTCATTTTCTTGACTCTCATTATCTTACAGATTATTTTTTATCTTCTTTTGACTATTAAAAAATTTATAAGAAATATTGATGTGACTTAATCGTAATCATTCCAATAGTAATCTTGTTTACAATCATCCAAATAGTAACCTAACATTGGGGTAAAGAATCAATATTATGCTCTTTTCTCTTTTCCAAGGCCAATTATAAGCAAAGTAACTAATCATAACATATTTATGTTTGCCAAGACGATATTTTTTAACTATTATAATTTATATGGATAAGGATTCGGATTTGGATGCAAGCCAGCAAACACATTGCTTAACCAACTGACTTAACTCATATCTGCAATAACACGATTGGGTTAACACACAAATTAATTCATCCATGCTATCATGGCCAACTAACCTAACCAATTGTGCGACTAACCTAACCAACTTGTGTAGTAGCACAATTGGCGTAACACAATTAATTTATTCACACTATCTTGACCAACTGATCTAACTTTTATATGCTATAACACAATTGATCCTAGAGGAACACACAATTAATTCATCTGAATTTGGCCTGGTGCCTATGTTTGGAACATGAAGTGATCAAATGTGATCAATTTTGAAACTTAATTATTTATGTTTGATAAAAATAAATTAAATAAAAAAGAGAAAAATACAGTCCTTAATCTGTACTGGCTAACTAATACTCCCATAAGAATGGGTCCCCTAGCCTGAATCCAGTGTCAGCTGCACACAAATGCCAAGTTGAAGAAGAATAATTGCAAAAATTATCACTTCCATCTTTCCCATCCATGAAAAGATCTGGTAGGTCAAACAATTTCTCATCATCGTAATCTGTTGAACCAGAAGCACAAGTGCTACTTGATTCTTGAGCATTGGACAAGGTTGAATTTGTTGATATAGGGAGCTTGGGCTCCGCTTCTTTAGTTTCTGCTTCACATATAAGCTGCTTATCCTCAGAAGCAGAAGCAGCAGCAGCAGCTGCCTTGGCAGCAGCAGCTTGGATGTCCTTTGGAGACTTGGAGTCTGGCTGGGGAAGTGCTTGAGCCAATTCAGGGAAATTGAGATAAGCAGAAACACCTTTGATGGCTAGAGTTGCCACATCATGAGCCCTGGCTGCCATTTCAGCAGTTGGGTATGTCCCTAACCATATTCTCGATTTCTTCCTCGGCTCGCGGATTTCCGACACCCATTTTCCCCAACTGCGCATTCTTACGCCGCGGTACGTCGGGTGCTTGCCATCACTGTGATCACTAGTAGTCCTCTGCCTCTTCTTCTTGTTGCCTTGCTCTTTCTCATTGTTTGGCCTTTGCCCTTTTTTTGATGTACAATTATCTGAATTTAGAGAAACTTGTGTGGTTTTATGATCCGTCAATGAATTGAAATTTGTCGTTATCGTGGAGGAGGAAGAGGTGGAGGAGGAGGAGGAGGTGGAGGAAGAGGAGGAGGTGGTGGAGGTGAAGGAGGGGAGAAGGTTTTCTTGAGCATCACTCTCTATGTTGATTTGGTTTGCCATGATAGAGGGGTTACGTAGCTCCAAAATTTAAGAGAAACGAATGTGAGCGGTGCATAAAAGCATAGGTGGTGGGTTTGTACGATTCTCTAGAAACAAAATTTAAGTAAATAAATAAAAAAGGAAAAGAAGAAAAAGGAAAAAAGAATATATATATATATATAAAGAAGCATGATTGGTGCAAATGCCGTGAGAGAGAGAGAGAGAGAGGGACACAGTTCAGCTATTTTGTTCCCCCATGTGGGAATGCATCAGTAGTGTATGCTTTGAGACTCTCTTTTTTGTTTTTTTGTTTTTCAGAAGAAAGGGGGATAATTGATGGTGAGCTACGATTATCTATCCCTTTCAAGACGGGAGAGGGTATGGGAAATTTCACCTTACTCGTGGCTACAGTCAAACAGGCCTACCAACTTGGAGCATCGAACCCAGAACCTCCTACATAAACTCTCTTTTTTGGAGAGTCACAGTCTTCGCCTTTATCCTTGGGCCACTTATTGTTGTTGCTTTTCGTTTTATTTTAAGTAATATAAATTCTTTTTTTCTTCCCATCTGCTCCTTGCTTGGTCTATCTTTTTCTCTTTTTTTCATGTTAAATTTATATTTGTTTTTGGGTCACAAAACCATATGGTCTTTCTTTTTCTCCTTTTTTCTATTTTTTTTTTCTTGTTATATATAAATATATGTTTCAGTGACAAGCATATTCATTTTTCATGTGTAGCATAATAAATGATTGCAGATTTTGGTAGGCTTCTGGGGTCTCACTAGTTCTCACAATATAGATTTGTTTGGTTGTCCAATTGATTTGAAAGGAAGCTACCTAAGTATTTTATGTTTATTTTTTTTTCTAGGGTTAGGGTGTATATGTTAACAGAGCAGTTAGTAGAGTACATTATGCATCAATATCCAAAAAACAAAAAAGAATTCAAACACTTAATTTTCTCCCTGTACACGCTCTTATTTAGTTTTGGCATTCAAAATAAAGAAACTAAAAAAAAAAAATAGAAAAAAATAGAAGTGTGAAAAAAAAATAACCGAAATGGACATGCGGAAATCATTTACTAGACAAAAAGCTCAAAATTTGAGTATTCGAAGTTTGTTTGTTGATATGAATTTGCCATCTTCAACTTGGTCCAATTATGTCTCCAATGGCCTTTGCTACAACCAAGGTTCTAAAAAATGTTAGGCGCTAGTCCGGCGGCATGCTGGGGTCTAGTGCCTAGGCGGCTAAGCAGGGCCTAGGTTGACTAGGGGGATTTAAATACATTCTTTATTTATTGTATTAATAAGTGTCTATTTATACTTAAGAAACACACATAATTATATTGGGATACATAAATTGCAAAATAAGATAACATAAATTACAAAGTATTAGACATATTGAAAACATGAAGAACAAACATATATTGAGTGTTCATCAAAACATTCAACACGTCTTTTACATTATATTGAAAAATTAAAATACAAAATGAAAGTTATTGATTTTCTGTCTAAGTGAGAGTCGCAACCTAGGCGGACGCCTAAGCCAGTTTAGGCACACTTTCTTAATTTTTAAACGCCTAGGGACTAATTGGAGTGGTAGCTAGTTGCCTAGCACCTAGATGGAAATTTTTAGAACACTAGCTGCAACCTTGTCACTAACTTCTTTTACATCCGATATGTATATAGCCAAAATATCAAATATTGTTGCAGTCATATTTACAATAGGAATGTGATTGTGTAAATTCTAGTAGATATAGGAATGTATCTTATATTCCTATTAGGAGTTGATTACCTATTAAGAGTTGTAATCCTAAAGGGAAAAGTTTTTTCCTATCCTACTACTATAAATAAAGGCACAATGGGGTGACTCAAACACACTTCACAATTAAATCACTCTCTCTTCTCTCTAATTGCCGCCGGCCCCCTCTCTCTCTTATCCCCTAGATTAGTTCAATCAAATAGACCTACAACAAATATAAATTAATTAGTTAAATTTAGATTAATATAGCAATTGAAATACACCTAGTATGCTATGCAAGAATCTTTGGTACAAGGCAGCATAACCAAATGATGAAGTGTCAAAAGCCCATCAAGCCGGCACACAAAGATCTGATATACACATGAATATTCAAATACTAGGAGACTAATCAGTGTCTTAGTTTTGTATAATAATTGATTAATGTGGTGTATTTGCTATCAGCATATATGCTAATCAGTAATCACCATCTGTTGATCAAGTTTCATGAATTTTAGGGACCTGATAATTTAGGTTACATGATGTGTTGGAGCACATGGCAGTGGGACCAGTGACAGGTTTTCCAGCAAACTGGTTCACCATGCAAGCAATATGCTCTTTGTTTTTTACTCCTTATATTCCCTCGAAAAAAATTATTTTTCACATTGTTAACTTTTGCAATTCAAAGCTATCATGTTACTTTGAATTTTGTTATTAAATATAAAACATATACATGGCACATAAAGAAAGTTCAGGTTTTTTCATAAAATCAATTAGAAATATAGGAAGAAGTTCAATTATTTATAAGTAAATAAAGGTTCATTCTTTTCTTGATGTGAGATTTTTACTCTCAACAAACTTCTTCATGTGTGGCGAATTATTTAGTCTAACACGTAGACAACCTAAATTAGATGACGTGAAGGACGTGTAACCTTTGTACTTCACAAGTGAGACAACATGCTCTAATGCTATGCGGGATATATATTCAGACTCTCAACACATTCAAAGAGATACTTACACAAAAATTGAGGAGGAACTCCTAACAAAATATCATGGCATTTTGGTGGGACTTCTTGTTTATGATCGAAACCGAAACACTTTGTAAAAATTATCATCGCAAAAAGTTAATTAAAACCAAACTTCTCGTAGTACCAATTTCAACCATCTGTTTGTATACAGTTTGATGACTAAGGGATCTCATATTATACTTTCTTTCTTTCTTTCTTTTTTTTTTTTTTTTTTGCAAAGATGATATTTACATAGTGAATTTTAATATGAACGATTCAAATCATAAGCAGAAGTTTTACGAATCGGCAACAAGCTGCTTTTGTGTGGAAACTCCTCGATAAATTTGTGGATTCAAACATTTCTATTTTAGCTTATGTTAAAAGAATTGTTATTAGCATTCCAAAAATTTTATTTTGCACTTTTTTTTTTGTCAAATAATAGATTTGTTATATTAGATGTTAAATTAGGAAACCGACAAGGTTTGAACCCACACCGTGGTGCAAGGAAATCACTCATCTCCACCACTGTGGTAGAGAGCCACTTACCTCATTTTGCACATCTCACAAATACATATTTTTTTTGTTCTAAATATAGATAGTTTGGAATGCAAAATAAAAAAATGTAGAACGTGAATAACAATTTCTTACGTTTTGAGTGAATTTCAGCTTACCGATAGACTTCAGTTAGCGTTCTTCAACTCGTCTATTGTGAAAGCTATATCAGTTAGTATAAAAAACATGTGGTTACTAATTGGTGCTCTATGCCAACATATACTAGTGATCGCACCATCATTTATTGACAGCATCGAGAGAGTAATATACCTCTAATTTGTTGGCTTTTGTTTGGGATCTAATCACCAACTCATAAATTAAACAAAGAAATTTTGAAACAGAAGACAAATAAAAACAAAAATGTGAAAGGGTGCCTTAGGTGGGGGGTTGTCTTATTCACCATCATTTGTATGTATTGGCAGTATTGAAACGGTCCATGCCACATGGACCAAGCCAGAATATTAATTAGTAAAACCGTATCCCTAGGTGTTCAGACATTCCTCAAATGACAGCGAGATGGAGTAAGCTTCAAGCAAATACGTAGTATTTCTGTATTATATTTAGCATATAATTGACCAATTCATGCCTTTTTTTTTACTGCACATGCCACAGATGCATAATTGTCGTCGCCTTTTATGCAATTGACATAACGATATGTGTAAGTCTTTCTTCAGCTAGTGTTGCACTATTGACCCGAGTTATTACGGTAATTAATTATTTATCTATACAATATGAGTCGTTTTTTTCTTTTTTTGCAGTAGCGTTGAAGATTTTATGAATAATATTTTGGCCGCTTAATTATGAGTTAAAATTCTTATTCAAAATCCTTGATGAATGATTCACAAAACTTCGTACTTATGGTCAGACAGTCATGTTATTCATCATTTAGTCAATAATTGTAGCGAATAGATATATGGTTTGATCAATCAAACTAACTACAGTATTTTGTAATGTCTATCTATTTTTTACAGTTGATTTTCTAAATAACTTTCTTTTTAATTTATATTTGGCAGAAATTATCTTTACATGTTATTTATAGAAATAAGTACCTAAGACCCATAACCTTTTAGTGTCATTCCAAAGTGGTGTCAACTTTTTTAAACATTCCAAACAAGTACCCAACATATTAAAAATGTCACATCCTTTAAGCCTAGTTAATTTTTCAAAGATCAATTATATTCAAAATCCACCAACTGGGCATATCATGGACAATATTAATATTAGTTGCCTCAAAATCTAAATTTCAAATACAGATTATATTATATGGAACCCAATGATCAAACAGGTATTGAATTGAATTGAAAATGGACCCAAATCAAAATTACATCAGGAGGGCAATCTTTTAACAAAGAAGAGGGTTAAGCATTCAAATTGGGTTTCAAAGAGTTTGTTTCTGCTTATGTGATTTCCTCATTCGCCTATTCTCAGCTCGTAAAGCTTCCAGTTCTTCTTTGCGGGCGGTGAAGATAGTGATGTCCGCATCATGGTAGTCTATACCATTTCAGCAACCTCTATGACCTTCTTCTCAATGTTGGCGGCTTGAGTTGTAGAGTGAAGTTGGTGGTTTTGCGTTGGGTTTGGAGGTGATGACATGATGATGGTGGTGGTAACCATTGGTTGGTGGAGGCTATGCTTCCATGACATTCTATTGATTTGGAGACAAATTCAACCTAGTTAATTTAGGGGTGGTTTGGTATGGTATTCCAAACTAAAAATGGTATCCTGAATCTCAAACCAAAAAAATATAGGGACGGAAATTTTAGGGATTCCCAAAATATTTTTGGTAATCGGGATGGTTGGGTATTCGCAAATTTCATACAA